AAATTGCTTACTCGTCAAGAGAAATAAACATTAAATACCAAAGATCAATAGTAAGAAATATATTTGCAATGATGTCATGACTACGTTATTTTTATATTAAAAAAAATAACAAAGATGTTTAGGTTTATATGCGGGGGTCGTTCAGAGGAACATATGTATCCATGTGTTAAATAAAACAACAAAGATACACCTAATATCAAAAAAAAAGTGGGAAAACCTTTAAAAATAGTCATAATTGATATTATTACATTTGGTAGCCAATATTATTGTTTCAATAATAAAGTTATCATCATTATCTTAACAAAATAGAGACCTGTTTTAAATCAGATGGTTCAAACTAAATAAATATATTCAGTCCAATTTTCAAAACGATTTAACCACACCCATTTGTGTAAGGTATTGAAGAGTGTCTTCATGAAGCACGATATATGATCAATTATATACTCATTGCAACTTTTCGCCCAAAAAGTTTACACAAGAAGCCGTAAATTTTTTAATGCATTCTTTTTTACCTGGATTGATTTTTATATTTTCTGAGATTCTTTTGTGCAACCGAACTTAGGCCTCGGAAAGAATTAATACAGCTTGTAATATGAATTAAAATCACAATGGTTAAATATATAAATAAATGTCCACAAATGAATGAATTCATTAGATTGAAAATTTTAAAATTCGGGTTTCTTTCTTGACATCCCTTCAGTTCTTTTACTAAAAATTTCTCAAAGTATTTCCATTTCTTATTCCTACTTTCATTATTTTAAAAGCTCAAGAATTTTTTGGCATATGTATATTAAAATATTGTTTTATCAAGAATTTTATAGTTTTATCTAACAACATTAAATTAATAACTTATTTCACTTTTAATAAAAGTAGCAAATTTTTATGTATAGTTTTTCACTCCGCAGTTTCACTCAATTTATGAAACGCGCAATTTGTTATATAAGACTAACACAGCTTCATTTTTTAATAAATTCAAAAGTCGAAGGTTTTTATGGAGGTAAAGTCTTACCCAAATGAATTGTCTTTTACAATCAAAAGCTGAAATCGTCAACTTGGAACTCGAATTAAATTCTTTCAGAGTTTAATTTTGTCTTTTTTTAAGCTTTGACAAGATAACTTTGTCTTTGTTGTTTTTCTTTCTAACAGCATATGTTTAAAATCACTTGTCACTTCACAACAATTTTTAAGAGTTTTATGTAGGCAGAAATATTCAGACAAAAATGACAGACAATTTAATAACAGTTCTTGAAACACGTCGGGTACGGCTAAAAGCTGGAGATGAATTGAAAGTGAAAGACCAATACAAACCAAAATATTCACGAATGACGAAAACCAAGCTGTTACGATTTTATGAGAGACCTGAGAGAAATAAACACTGATAATCTACATGCGCCTATATACAAACCGTGTGAGTGAAAAAACTGAGAATAAGTTAGTGAGTACATGTTTACGAAGAAATATCTATAAGAGCTTCATAATTCCAAGAAAATATCTGAAACATAAAAAAGCTCCACTGGAAATATATAGTCTTGATTTCGTAATATGTACATAAATTGATATATAAATATGTAATTTGTTTTCAACAAATCAATACTAAATAATTAATAAAAAGTTAATAAGTTACTATTTAAGTGAGTTTTTACAAATTATTCTAAATGAACTATTAAACTTGAAATGAAAATTATTTTTGCATTCTGAAAATAAAATCCTATTTAAATACTGTAGATTAACCTTTTTCCAAAGTGCTTAATGCCGTAGTATCTACTTAAAACCGTTTTGGGATTTTTCATGTGGAAATAAATTTTTTTTCTTCTTTTAACTGAATGTCAATGTTTAAAATTTAATTTTACTCTATACATAAAAGACATTTCAAATTAAAAAAATAAAATTAAAGCAGAAAAATTACTCTCAATTAGAGGTATCAATTTTTGCATGGATTAGGAGGTATTGCGAATATATTTTCCATTGGGATACTGTTTACGGGATGTTAAAAAATATAAAACAATTTAAGAATTCATTAGAGTTAGTTAAAAAATATTTATTGAAAAGATTCATGAAATCAACTTCAAAAGTTTACGAATCATATTAGTTACCAATATGTGAAAAACTAGAAAAAAACATGTGAAAAACACTATGATTAGCGAATTATATTCTTTTATTGAAATTATTCAAGAACAAAATAAAAAATACTCAATTTGATATACATTGTTGAAAGAGGGCATCAATTTATTTCTGATAAAATTTATTTATCTGCTGACTAATAATGTCGTTT